AATGCACTGTTTGTATATAGAATGTTTTAAATAATGTAAATATATCTTTATGTAATGCACAAAGCTTCACTACATTATTAAACAGACATACTGTGGATTCCCAGCCAAGGCTTTCATTACTCAAATCCTAAAGTTGCTTTTGCCTTTAGGCAAGATGTTGTTCTACTCTTTATTCACCAGTTACCCATAGCCAGCACAGGCTGAATTACCTGGAAAGTTTGTTGTGAGGAGAGGTGTGTAAAGGCTCAAAATTCTTCTGGCAAGACACGACTGGTTTTTGGATAGGAACAGCTATTCTGGAGGTGTTCAAAAGGTTTTGAAATGTGGGCATACTAAAATTCAACAATATGGACTCAATCTACAATTTGTGGAATCTATTCTGATCTTGGGCACAGTGGCAGTAGTTTAAGCAGACGTACTCAGACCTCCCAGTCAAATGACACTGACTAACTGCACTTCTCATTCCATCACTATGGGTTAGCCCGTGAACCCTTATGATCTTTTGATGACTATCCAAAATCTACACAGACCAGAGTTCTGCCTTTAGGCTCAGCTGTCTCTTCATCATAATAGACCACTACTGAATCCATATCACTGTAATTATGGAAACAAAAAACAACAGCAAAAGGCCTGATATCTTAAACTTTTAATGTACCCCCCATTAGGAAACCCCAAGAACAAATGTGCCTTTTCCAAGTCCCAAAAACATGCCGAGTAGTTGGAGAAACACCCATGACCTCAGTTTAATAGCTCACAATTCTATGACACAAAATGTAAAGCTCTTTAAATTTCAATTCATGCTGGACAACACAATCAACCAAGCAGGCTAATCTGTACTTAGATTGGAGTGCCCTGCTTGTACCAACGCTGAAGGTCAATGGTTTTCCCAACAGTTCAGCCACAGTATTGATTCCATATTTAACACAGGGATGTCATCTTCTCCAACATCGATCCCCCATCCGTGCTGACAGGATATTAAAAATCAAAGCGGCATAATAATAATTGTGTTCTGTCACTGTGGCTGACGATATTTATCATAGTTCATTAGTTCAAGAGAACTAAAGAAATGAAACGATGGGTGTGATGGAGGACATGACATTAGCATGCTGCGTGGATTCAAGCCTCCCATTCAAAAAGCTAATAAGGTCTTTCTCATTCAAGAATCAATACAAAAGAAACAGTGCAGTGAGAGCTAGAACTCAAGAGTTCAATTACATATCTTACTCCCCTGAATAACAACAGTCATGGTGTGCCACAGGTTAACGGGAAGATGAAGAAAGGAAGCCTGTGCTCTCTTTCAAAAACCACAAACTCCACCCAAGAAGTTAAAGGACCTATGAAGCTTTTAAAAAATGATGATCAGGACTCACCTTTCTGGGGAGACCATTAATCCAAAGTACAAAGCGGCAAAGTAACTGACTATGAAAATGGAAATTTTCAGATAGACCCAGGTGAAAGGCCCTTTGCACCAAGGCTGACTAACCACAAATTCCTACATTCATGTTTAAATGAAAAATCAATATGATCAGTTAAGTCTTGTATTATGTCTATGTATTATTATAAAGTGTGCACCAACAAACAGAAAGACTCAGCATTAAGCTGTCTAACTCAAAGCATGCTTCAGCTAAAAAGCAATTTGAATTTACACCCCTGAACAGATGGACACCATCCCCCTGATTGTTTTCCTTCCTCTTTATCTCTTCATTAAACGCATAGATCAGTCCTCACATCTCAGGATCCCAGATGGGTATGGTGACCACAACACATCCCAACAAGTTAAATGTGAGACAAACAGTATTTGTAGAACAAAGTAGGATGTATTAACAAGGCTAGGAGGTAGTCAATAATACTATATTTAAGTTTAGCTTTTCTAACTTTCTCCCTCAGCAAGTAAAATAAGAATAAAAGCTGACATTTGTTCTTATAGTCCCATTTTCTCTTATAAATTCACTGTTATTTCAGCTGCTGCTATGCCTGGTAACAGTGTAACAGTTTCAGTGAAAAAATAGCTCAGAAAAGTAAGCCTATTTGAACAATTTTTAGCCAAGTTTGACATGCATATACTGTGCCACTTCACACAATATTTTCTCATGCGTGAATAACCAATCATATTCAACAAAATCTGTAACTTTAACTTGCGATTTGTGGCTCTCACAGGACATAGCACCGAACAGGCTCACCACTGTTTGACTAGAATAAATAGACTTCCCTTCCCTTCCCATGCAATGGTCAAAAACAGACTTTAAGAAAAGTGCATGTCCTCCAGGGCCAGTCAAAATGTGGAACGGTGTCTTAAGATATGGGACGGGAGAGGGGGGATATAACTGCTGTGCAGTCTCATTTAAAGAGGGATATCTGGGCACCCTACATATCAGTGCAAAGTAAAATAAGTTATAAGGATACACCAGCCAAGCTTCTTGTGTCAGTGCTGCTTGGCAATTTGTCCACTTGAGAAAAGAAACTCTTATAGTCCCATCAGAATGACAACTATTATAGCAAGTAATGAACTCAGCCTTGGTAAATACATATGATAAAAAATGGGCACAACTGTCATATGTTATCTGATTCACTTTGAATATGTTAAAAATACAATAATAAATGCAACAATGACATTTTTGACTGCTCTCCTAACCCTCCAAGCCATTTATCTGACTATCATGTCTATAAATCCCTTTGCTGTATATGATGCCATATCACTAGAGTGATGATGGGTTCCCAGAAAAGCTTAAAAATTTCAAGCTTAAAGTGCTACAGTTCCCCCATCAGAGAGGGTCTAATCCCCCAAACTGTGATACTAATCGTACAAAGGATTAATCACAGAAGAAAGTGTGATAAAAATGTGCTAAATTATGTCAGCAGGCATTTTGGGGAATAGTGATTTTCTGGAGTATCCCTTCGCTCAAGGTCAAGTTAATGTCAAGGCGCTAATAAAATATAGGAAAGCTCACATTTATAGTCATCTCAAGCAGATAAGGTTAAAGAATGGCTGATTCTTAAAGATCAAGTTAAATTACATCATCTCATGGAGTTCATGCTAATAAAGAACTTCAAGCCTTTGAAATCCTTTCCATATCGAAAGGACTTTGTCCCTAAATTTTAAGAAAAAAAAGTGCTTCTTAGCTTCATGTAATGGCATAATTAAAACTGCAGTTCACTCAGAGCATATGGTAAAATACAAATGTTTTAACAATTTTGACTTCAACCACAAAAGAAGAAAAAACAAAACAAAACAGGGGCATTAAGTCTATGAAGTTAACTTTTGTATGCCAGCCTGGCAGTCCTGTGATGATACAGGACCAAGAAATAAAAGGGTTGCTGCACAGCTCAGTGAGGGATGTTTAAGAATGAGCCAGCTATTTCAGTTTTCCGGTTTCTGTTCAACATGAAACCTTGGCCTAAAGGGAATGCATGGAACAAGATTATTTAGCAAGAAGCTTCCCCAGTTCAGTTTGTATCCAGTCTGTCATGAAGATAAAAAATATCCTTCCCCAATTCAAATCTCTTGCTTTCTTTTGCTTCCGTCTTTAGAAAGTAAAATTCTTCCTACCAGTTTGCCACCAGTGATCCAGAACAGGAACTCCAAAGTTCCTTTTTGCCCATTGCAGGGTCTCCACATCACATCGCTCTCCTGCCACGAATAATGACCTCAACCTGCGGGAACACAGAACACATCTGTCAATCACCTTAAGGAAGCAAGGCATATTCACTCCCTCAGTCGGAATAAATCAAAATCGATGTTCAATGCCCAAACCATAGACGTCTCAAGACTTTAAAGTTGGACTACTACATGTACAGCAGTGGTGAGTGTGTTAGACATTTACACAGACTCATCATGGGCCTGAATGCTATGGTAATTTGGGGCTTTTAACGATTTCTTCAGTGTTCTTTTTCCATGGTGGAATAATTGTAGAGCAAATATCTTTAATTTTTTTTTTTAAAAGTCCAAGTCCTAACTTGACAAAGCCAAGGCCTATTAATTTCTCATTCGTGATCATGACTGCCTACTGGTTTCTCTTTTCCAGCCTACACACAAATTCTAGCTCCCAGTTATGGAGTACGCTTCACTGATTTGGTCATTTATGTGAATTTCAATGTGTTATTAAAATTAAAAAGTCGCCCGCTAGTATGTAATTTACTCCTTTATTGCCAACGGTGCTGCAAGGGTAAAACACTGGGTTAAATCAACCGTGAGAACCCAAATTAGAAACTATGAGTGACTATCTCTCGCAGTACTCCAGAATTTGACTTTGACTGCACTTTTCTTAAAGGCAAGATAGGCAACATGCTTTCGGAATGAGTGGGCAAAAAAAATCCATTATAAACTTTCAGCCTAGTGTAAATCAAAGGTTCTGAGAAAGACTCTTGTACCTCATCTGAAGCAGTTTTACAGGCTTCAGCACAGCCAAGCTCTTTGGCAAATCACACATCTTTTCAGACTAGATTCGATGAGCTGCATGTAAGGATATAGTGTGAAGGAGGTAAACACAAACAATGGATTAAGCAAAGATCCTCTGAAGTGGTTTGACTGGCACAAAAAGTCAAAAGTCAGAAATGACTGGCTTTTAGAAAATTAAAATCCCTCATCTAGTGACAAAAATGAGAAAGGAGAGGAAAAGCTGCAGAAAGAGAGCTTCCAACTTTCAAGGTATGTTCATTTGTTTTTTTGCCTTTTATTTCGTTTAGAGCAGCTTTAAATTAAGTACGAGGCTTTTGATCCACAGCCGTTTGGTCTTCAAGCAAAGACCAAATGACGAAGTATAAATGACAAACACCAACCCTAACTCCTAGAGTAGATATCCAAAATCAATTGTTCAAAATACAGCATTATCAGCTTACACTGGGTATTGGTGCAGGTCATCCTCCTCTATCTGAAAGAGTCCATTACAGCTAATGTCCTCCTCGTAACAGTTAACGCAATGCTTTTGTTAAACTCCCTGAATAAAAGCTGTAACTATAAACTTCACTCAAACCTCATTTCATTTAAAATGCAATGGGAGGGTATCCAGAGGCAAAATTACCAAAAAAAAAAAAAAGTGCATCCATCCCAAAAACATATTTACCTAATTGTAAATCAGAAAATCAGGACAAGCTTAATTGGTCTTATTTAAGCAAATAGTTTGAGACACGTTTGCTGACTAAACCATTCTTTTTCAACAGTTTTCCTTCTTTTCAGGACAGTGGAGGTGAAAGCTTGTTTATCTTGAGCATCTTCTCAAATCCCAAAGTTATTAGCCTCATGCTTTAAATGTCAAAGCCATCAACAGTGAATTCCACTTTTTCCTTCCCCTGAAACTCTCAAGCCTACCTACAGTCCTTCTGAGTTGCTCTTTTCCCCACCAAACCACATGCCCTCAATATGACCTTACAGACAGCAGTGATGAGCCCCTTAATCATGAAGTACCTAAAAAAAACCCAACAAACTCCTTCAAGTGTCAAATCCAACCTGCCCTTAGACCCTTCTTGTTCATCTTCAGAATTCTGCTACTTTTTTTGAATAACTGATACTCCCTGAGTTCATGCCCTGCTAGTGAACCCAAACACTACAGTTTCTATCTTCAGTCTCTCTTATTTCTCTTATTTCTCCCCTATTATCCACTCCTCCTGATGGCTGCTCATATTTATTTTCAAAGCGTTGTTACCTGGTCGCTAAAAGCTTTTAGAAACAACCCACCAACCCTAGGCTACATTTTAGGCACAGCAGTCATTGAAGAGGTAGTGTAGTGATCACTACTCTACCTCTTCAATGACTGCTGACTTTTTGTATTTATTACCACCTGTAATAGGGCATCTTTTTGACTGACACTTCTTTTCTCTGTATTATTGTGCGGTCTTTAACTTATGATATAAAGTGTGTCAATGCCGTTTTGATTTGAAACTACATAAATAAAACTGAACTGAACTCTGGCATTGATGTAAACTTTTACACTGATATGGATTAAATCAGAGCACGTCATGTTGTCAGGAGCACTACACTAACTTTCACTGCTTATATGTGTGCCAAAGGAGCACTTTAAAGCAGCTATAACTGTAAGTCTGAAAACATTAGGGCGATACAAAAGCATTAGGGCGATCACATCTATCTATCTATGATGTGATTAACCTTGAAAGAATTACCATCTATGGACCCTTACAGTTTTCCTCAATTTCTTTTCTCTTAGTAGCATTTGCAGCTACAACAGGAAGCTGATTTTTAGGGGGGAAAACTCTTAAAAAAAAACAACCAGACAGTCGATTTCCCAGCACAATGCAGCATACAGAGAGAGTTAGCAGCAAGCTGGCGAACCTAGTTGAAGCATTTAGCAGCTAAAGAGCCAGATATTTCCCTCAGGTGTTAGTGGAGTCAATGGAGACAGGTTTGCCAGGTGGCCAGAAACACTTCAAAGAAATGATAATGTTGCTCCATAACACAAGGATGAGAATGCTGCTACCAATGCAGCAATAAAAAAATAAAAAATAAACAATCAAAAATGCAGATTTTAAGTTCATTGAGTCATAATATCATGCTGAGGATGAATAGCTTAAAATAGGGCTTAAACAAATAGAAAATATCAAATATGTCAAGGACCAAGCCACGGGACTTAACAATCATCGAACCATCCTTCAGCAGTCAGATTTTTTGTGCACAGGACTTAAGCTGAATTACATGAAATAAGTGAATAATTAGACTGTCCCTGTAGGGGCCTTATGTTCTAGCTGAAAGCAAGTATATTCCCACCACCACATGTCTCGCTATTCAAAGACAATTCAAAGGTGGTATTCAAGTTTTCTTTGAGGAGTTAACAGATTAAAGCAGACAATGTGACCTCGGAAACTGTGGTGGGAGGGTGATGATTTAGCTGTTGCCAAAGCAGCAAAGAAACCGCAAAGAGACCTCAGTTTGAGTTAATCTAACCATCTGTGTTATGTTTTCAGTAAAATTGTACCAGTTGTGAAATTCTGGACAACCGCTGGTGTTTAAAACAACACTGAAAAAACACATTTCCATTTTATTTTGTATTTCTGCATTTTGCTACTATCATTTCCTCTCCCACTGAGCGATTACAAATATAAAATCTTGACACGACACCATCACGCAGTTGCTGCAGATTTCTGTACATGCATGATCCAAATCTGCTGTTTCGCCGCATCCCAAATGTGCTCTATTGGAGTGAGATACGGTCACTGCGGAGGGCGTTTGAGTACGGTGAAATCATTGTCTGGTTCAAAAAACAGTTTGACATGAGCTGAATTTTGGGACATGGTGCATTATCCTGCTGGAAGAGACAGAAGATGGGTAAGCTGTGATCATAAAGGGATAGACATAGTCACCATGGTTGTGGTGTTTAAACTATGCTTAATGGGTACTAAGGGCTCAGAGTGCCAAGAATATATCCCACCTGAACTGTTCATACAAGGAAGGACGGACGGATAGATGGATGGATGAATGGATGGAAGGATGGATAGAAGGATGGATGGATGGATCCATGCTTTCATGATGCCAAAATTCAATTGTGACTCATCAAACCAGGCAATGCTTTTCCAGTCTTCTGTTGGTGAGCCTCGGCAACTGTGTCCCTGGTGTACTCTTCCACTTCTAGCCCATTTGCTTTAAGGTTTATCTTCTCCATACCTTAGCTGTGTCGAGTAGGTTCTTTATTTTCTGTTGACTACCTAACACTTCAAAGAAGCCTGGCCCTTCTCCTCTGACCTCTTGCATCAAAAAGGCGTTTTCACCCAAAGAACTCTTGCTCACTGGATATTTTCTCTTTTCCAGACCAGTCTCAGTAAACCCTAGACATATTCGTGAGGGGGAAATCCCAGTAGGTCAGCGGTTTCTAAAAACTTTTTCACCCATCTGGCACTAATAACCATGACATGTTCAAAGTCACTTATATCGCCTTTGTTTCCCATTTTGACGTCTGGTTTGATCTTCAGCAGGTCGCCTTGATCATGCGTACATTCCTAAACCCAATGAGCTGCTGCCATGTTAATGGCTAATTAGTTATTTGCATGAATGACAATTTGAATAGGTGTACCTACTGAAATATCCAATCCATGTATGTTTCTATGTTAGGATAGTGACTGGCTCTTCAGTGGTAGGAGTGGGAAAGCTACCATCTTTAGTTTCACAAAACTGCCCCATAGATTCAGGATTGAAAGTGCTCTAATTTGTCAATCCAAACTATGAAGCAGGCTTCTGAATTGATTTGTTTTATAATGACACGATATTATGTTGCCCGTTTGTTTGAATAATTTATTGAAGTGATAAGACTTACCATTTAGTTGGGGGGGGG